TATCCTTTTCCTGTTGTGATATTCTAGCATTCGCTGTTGACTGTCTTCGATGTTTTCCTTCACGGTTTCATCTGTATTCTTGTTAAACAATAAGTCTATTGGTTTYCTTTTGGTCACTGAATKTATTGTTTCATTATATTCTTTTATTGCAGGAAATATTTGTTCCTCTGTTGTTGTTTTTTTATCTTCGGCTAAAGTTCTCGCAATTTCTAGAATTGTGGAGTGCAAACGTTCAACTTGTGCGTTCGATGTCGAATGATTCCGTTCCGGTTTTCGTAGACCCGACTGTCGTGGGTTTTACATTTTAAATTTTACTTTAAACCGTTCGTGTCGTGGGAATATAGTTGATGCAGTTTTCTCGTTCGTTTCTGACGGTATTAATTCAACTTGTGTACGAAAAAAATTTAAGGGTTTTGCAATCATTTTAATGCATCTGAGTGCTGAAGACTCTGCGGAGTGCATTGATGTATCTGACATCGTATTTACTTGTCTAGATAGTGCGTCTGCGACCACGTTCTCGTGTCCAGGTTTGGTTTTTAATTTAGCACCATATTCCTCTATTAAGTTTTTCCATCTTTTGAGTTTAGTGTTTGGATTTTTTTCTGATATCGAAAATATAAGTGACTGGTGATCTATGTAAATTGTTAGGTCGGCTATTCCGTGCAGGTAATTTCTTAGTTTCTGTAGTGCCCAAATTATGGCTAACATTTTCTGCCGCATTTCTACCCTGACTCAGTACTGCTCCTATTGCGTGGTTACTGGCGYCTGTGGTTAGATCGAATCCCTTTTCAAAGTCTGGCTGATATAGCTCTACCTTTTCTTTTAGTTTTTCTTTTATTTCTTCAAGGGCCTTGAGTGCCTGTTCGTCTAATTTAATTTTCACGTTTTTGCTTTTATTTTTCGATATACTACCGTTTTCTCCCTTTAAGTAAATCGTTAATGGCTTGCATATATGTGCGAAGTTCTTCACAAATTTCCTATAGTAGGAAGCTAATAATAAAAATGAGCGTAATTCTTTTAGTGTCTCCGGTGTTTTATACCTATCTATAGCATCTATTTTCCCTGGGTCTACTGTAATCCTTCCGTTACTTATTATGTGTCCTAGAAATTCGGTTTTAGTTTGAAAAAAATTTGACTTTTCCTTGGAGATCTTCATATTAGCTGTATGTAGCGTCTGTACAATATTTGTGATATCCTTAATGTGTTGCTCTGGGTCAGCAGAGTAAATTAAGACATCATCGATATAGACATATGCGCATTTTCCAATGTATGGTCTCAGAATGTCATCTACACATCTTTGAAATGTGGCTGGAGCGTTTTTTAGGCCGAACGGTAGGCGAAGGAATTCGTACTTGCCCCATTTACTGAAAATGCAGTTTTTTCCCTATCTTCTGGTTTGATCATAATTTGATGWAAGCCAGATTCTAAATYTAAAGTTGTAAAGTATCTTGCTTTACCTAAGTTTTGTAATGTCATAGTTATATCTGGAATAGGGTATCTGTCCGCTATGGTTTGTTTATTTAATTTTTGAAAATCTATAACCATACGTTTTTTTTGCTTTTCCTTCTTCATCTATGCTCTTTTTTGATACCGTCCATATCGGTGAGTTATATGGGCTTTTACTTTCGTTAATTATTTCGTTTTTTAAAAGTTTCTGTGTTTCCTTTTCGACAAACTCCTGATCTGCATATGGATATGGGTATTGTCGCACCCAAACACGTTCTTTGGATTCAGTCCTAATCTCTGCTTGTATTGTGGTGGTGAAAGGTAACAGTTCATTATTGTAATTATTCTCCATTAGTTCCTTGATTTCTTTCTCATGTTTTTTTTATCTCCTATAGAGTAATTTATTTGTTCCCTACCTACCTCAGTAGTTTTTTCAAATGTTACTGAGTATTCAAATAAATCTATTTTTGCTTTCATTTTTCTTAATGCGTCCTCTCCTAGTATTATATCAACTCTTTTAGTTCTTCTGCTTCAAAAAAATCTAAGTCAAATCCTACTAGGTTGATTTCTCTCTTGTGAGTAACTGTTGAACTCCCGTGTAGTGTGTTAAACCTAACAGGTTTATTTAATTTTATTCTTTCTGCAAATGGGTAATTTTTACTCACATAGCTACTAGTTGCACCTGAATCTATCAGTATATGCACGAATCTTCCATTAGGTGCAGTGCGTCTTAACGTCGGAAGACCGTGGTATCTTATAAAAAATGTTTCTGTCTATTATTATTTCTATAACTTACACTAGGTGCTTCATTGTAAAGTGACTCCTGGTCGTCTTCTTGGGTATCTCCCACTTGGTTCAGGCGTTGTGTTTTCCTTTGCTGCGAGTTTGCCGATTTGTTTCCTTTGCTGCGAGTTTGGATGACTTGTCTAAACGGATTCTGTGTTTGCCTTGCTTCCTGATGAATGTTAATTGGCGGTTGTGGATTGTATGGTTGTCGTCTAAATCTTGTTGAAGAGGGGTCTACCTCCATTGGTTCCGTTGTTTCTTGTTGCAATTGGTTGGAGATAAAAATTCTGCTGGAATTGCTGCTGTGTTTGCCACTGTTGATGGCTTCGCCGTTGTACCCTCGGTACGTGTTCCAGTTGGTGATAATGCGAATCATGCTGCATCGTTCTARCTATCCCATGTGCTTCCATCAGATTGGTGMATGATCTTGAGTATAATKCATTMTTTGTTGCTGAACTACTCAATCCTGCGATAAATGTTCTCACTGCCTTTAATTGTATCTCCTTGGATAGAGCGCTGATCACATTTTCATTCTTGTGTGTCATCTCTATTTTGGATAATACTACGTTCAACGCTTGGTTTAACTGATCGTAGTATATATGTATGTATGAAGAGGTTTTCCTGCCTGTCTTATCCTCATCATGTCTTCTTCCAGGACATAGAGTGAGCGTTGATCGGCATATGAGTCGTCTAAGCGGTCTATGATTTCCTCGAAGTTTAATTTTGTATTATTATTGATGAGAATTTGCGCGGATCTTCCTGTAATCTTTCCCCTGAGTAAGATTAAGGGTTCCGTGTATATGTTCTGTCCCCTGAATGGTTTCACGTTTCCCATTAGAGTTGTGGCCAGTTTTCTCCAGTTTCTATATCTGAAGAGTCCTAAATCAACTGAGTATGTGCAGACTTCGTCTTGTGCTTCTTCCACTGGTGCAGCGGTTATTTGAGCTTCGGCGAATCTTCTCTGCATGTCCATAACCATGGCTTAAAGTGCCTGGATTTCCGCTTGTGCCTGTGCCATTTTTAGAAAATTTCTTCTGTTGGACACTTTTGATACACTTGAATTTTATTTTGAATTCGTCGTTATGGAGTCGCGAAGGATTTTATTCACTGAATCCTTTTGTTGACCGGTCCCTGCTCGGGCGCCAATTAAGAATAATCTTTGGTTATTCTATAGAAATATATTTCCCTTGGATTCCTCCAAGGTTGCTTTATTTAAATATATATATACTGTATGTTTACACATTGGACAATATACTACTATCTATGCCTACGATTATATTTGAACTGAGAACAAGTGTTCTATGCCCGTCACTCTTTTATAGCAGTGCAGTCAACTCGTGTCGGCTTCTGATTGGCTAATTCCGGTGGCGTGGCATCTTGTAAGATGATGCCCCTCCATGTGTCTGTATGTTGATCACGTTGTATATGCGTGATGTGGTGTTGGCTTGTTGTTGTTGGTCACGTGGTGGCTGTACATTCTTGTAAGATGATGCCTCTCCATGTGTTTGTGTTTTGATCACGTTGCACATGCGTGATGTGGTATTGGCTTATTGTTGTTGGTCATGTGGTGGCTGTACATTCTTGTATAATGATGCCCCTCCATGTGTTCGTGTGCTTTGTTCACATGGTCTACTGTTGCTATGTTGTATATATGTGTAATGGTAGGTAGTATGAGTCATACGTGTATGGCTGGGTGTTAACTTTCGCCAGTTCATTGCCGGCTATACCTTTGTGACCAGGCACCAATAGCAGGTGTACCTGGTTTCTCTCCGCGTGGCTATTCAGCCTCTCCCTGCACTCCTGCACTAGAAGCGACTTGATCTCGTAAGAGGAGATCGCCTTCATCGCTGCTTGACTATCGCTAAGAAGGACTATACGCTCATTGCGATAGTTGCGATGGGGGTTTATTTCTATGCACCGGCTTATAGCATACACCTCTGCCTGGAAAATGCTCGGGAACTCMCCCATGGRTACTGGGAGCCTAGTGCGTGGGCCCACAATCCCTGCGCCGGTTCCCTCCGACATTTTAGAGCCATCTGTGTACCACCTCATAGTACTGTTCCTCAACATCCGCTCGAGGTTGGAGTCRTTCCAATCCTCTTTGCTGCCGAGGGTAACCTTAAACTTCTCCCTTAGGTTCACCTTTTTAGTAGTACTATCCCTCGGGAGGAGGACCAGTGGTAACTTGCCACTTATCTTCTCCATCCTCAGGGATGAGACTATTTTTCCTTTTCCACACCCCTCTGAGTGTGTTTGGCTACCAGAACGATGACCAGATGAAGCGGAGTAAGTTCAAGAAGAACCTCCAGTGCCGCTGTTGGACAGGTTCGCATTGCGCCCGTCATGCAGACACCGGCCAGCCTCTGCAGATTCAGTAGATGTGTCCTAACCGATGTTTGCGACGCTACTAAGGCCCGGGCTACCGCCCCATATGTGATTATCGGTCTTACTATCATGGTATATAACCATCTAACTTTTCTTGGCGTTAAACCCCAGGACCTTCCTGCCAGTCGATTACACACCATTAAGGCCTTTGTCGCCTTGACCAAAGTCAGGTTTACGTGCTGCTTCCACCTCAGCGTGGAGTCTAACGTTAAACCGAGGTACTTAACACTACTGGTCATCCCTATTTCACTACCCCCCAGTAGGAGATTCCTGAGGCCGGGTAGGGTCCTGCGTCTTGTAAATGGGATTACAGACGTCTTGGAAGGGTTCATATTTAGTTTAACCTCTCTGCACCACCCCTTCTCTAGGTTGAGACCTCTTTGGAGAGTCACAGAGAGTGTCTTCAAATCTCCCTCTTGCCATAATGACAATGTCGTCCGCGTACCCTTGGCATTGGATTCCATTGTCTGGTAGCAGTGTTAGCAGTTCGTCCACAACTAGACTCCATAGCAGGGTTGATAACGCACTCCTCTGTGGACAGCCTCTTGTTGTGCCGAGACGAATACTGCTATCACCTACTGTGGTCTCAGCAACCCTTGAGCGCAATACGGCTTCTATCCATCTACGCACTGGTGCCGCCACATTCCTTTTCTCAAGTGCCTTTGCTACACTCTTGTAGGACGTGTTATCAAAGGCTCCTTCGATGTCTAGGAACGCGCAGAGCATCACCTCCCCATGCTCCAGTGAACTCTCTATTTCAGAGGTCAGCTGGTGCAGAGCAGTGCTGGTAGATCTGCCCGCTCTGTAGGCATGTTGAGCCGCATGCAGCGGTGAACTCTTTAGCGCCTTCATCCTTATTTCTTGATCCACGATCTTCTCCATGGCTTTCAGTAGGAAGGACGTTAGACTTATCGGTCTGAATGATTTCGCCAACGAGTAGTCTTTCCTTCCTACCTTAGGTATGAAGATCACCTTCGCTGTCCTCCATACCTCAGGGATATACGCCAATGCGGGGCTATCTCTCAGCAGCCGAACTAGGTGGGGCAGCAAAAGCTGCTCCCCCTGTTGCAACAGCGCCGGAAAGAGGCCATCCACTCCTGGAGACTTGAAGCTCTCAAACGAGGCCCGCGCCCACCTTATCGAGTACGCCGTGAACAGCTGTTTGGCAATACTCCAATCCTCGCCGGATTGCCTGTGTTCGATCACCGGTGGACAGCGGTCCTCCCGAACTGTCTCCGGGAAGTGCGCCCTCAAAAGCTCCATGGCCCTGTCCTCCGCACTGGTCGTGAAAGTCCCGTCGTCCCGCTTAATTGCTATTTCTGCTTGTTTCTAAAACCGAACTAATGTGATGGGATTAATTGCTTTTCGTCGTTTATAGATTTTAATATTTAATTATAAACTAGTCTATATGACGAGACTACATGAAGATTCTTTCCTGGCTTAGGAGCCATAACAACATCGGCAACTTTCCACAGGCTTGGAAAAATGTTTCAGACGGATTGCTATATTAAAAGATAAGTGAGCTTCATTCAACATTTGCCTTGCTTAAACTTTAAGCTTTTTAATTTAACTTCTAAGTTTACAAATGGCAATTGCTGGAATTGTTGCATGATCCTGTTGAATTCTACATTTCTATTTCACTGTTCTCATCTATCCGCTGACAAAAAAGATAGATTATTACAAAGTATCTGAAACGTCCAATAAGCCAAATTGCACCATTAAAACATACTTCCAATACAAGGGCTAGAAGTGATAGCTTGAAACCTAGCTGAAACCTTTCGTCCAAATGAGATTTGGCTGTATTAATTAACTCATTCTTAATAGGAGTGATTTCTCGTTTTAATTCAGCTGTTGCTCTATTAAGGTTGGTTTTGTCGAGTGGTGAGCGCGTTTGTTGCCATTTCCGTCGTAACTTTCTTTTCCTAATTAGGAGGATTTTTTTTTTATTTAGAGTAATTTGAACCTATATTTTTTCGCTTTATATCCAGAGTACTATCCCAAACTACTTGTTGAATTGCTCTCGTAAATGTGTCAACTTCTAACTCTAGTTGTGAATTGCGGACACTTTATTTTTGTCTGAAGTATTTGTTTGAACGAAATCCAGTCCGTATTTTTATTGTATTGTACTGCCTGGAGTAAGTCTCGCCTTTTAGTTGTCGTTAGGAGCGATCCCCAGTAAAAATGTTTCCCCTCCCATAATAAATTTCTGTGGATGTATATTGGGAAGTTTTTTATGTTCTTCAATGAGAATTTTGTATTTCTCTAATGTAATAGATGTGGTTTGAATATTGTGCGTACTGATTTTTCTGTGCTCATAATGTTTAATGCTGAAGCTCTCCAGTCAGACAACATTTTTACTTTATGAATGTCGTTATTTAATAGTTTTAATAAAAAAGAACTTTTAGTATTATCTTTAAATAGGTTATTTAGTTTGTTTTATAATTAGCAATATTATAAATCATAATAGATGGAGGCCGCGGTTCATACTTAAATTTTTCATATTTAGTTGTGTGGTTTTCACCGTTCAATGATAAAGTATTGATTTTATGATCACTTCTGGTGAGCTTCGGATTTACGCTTTTTATTAGGCCTCTTTTTTTCATTAAAACCCAGTCTGTGTCCAGAGCTAATTCTTCTACATCAGGCACAATTGGGCGATTATTATGTTCTTTAAGCTTTTGATTTTCACTTTTTAATTGTTCACATAATTGTTCTAATTACTACAAAAAAATAGTGTTATCATATTCTGTACGAATAAAAATAAATTAATAAGAAAATGTATATGGTCAATACAAAATTCATTATAGGGTGAAGAGCAACTTAAAATCTTTCATTAATTCCTTTCTCTTCATAAAACGCGGTGTTGGATCGGCCAGGGTTATTTTTTTGAAGCGCGGCCTAAGGCCTCCAATGGGGAAAGGTACTCTCCCCGAAAACCTAATAATGATATTCACTCCTGTGTTATTTGTTTCCTGCCATGGGGGTATTATGTGTTTTTTTCCTTTGTAAAATATCTTGGTAAACTTACACTGATTATATAATATGTTAGAATGCTATCTTATTTTTTTTATGTGAGCAGTAAAAGATAATTATTGAATACAAGTTATTTTTGCACTATTTAATATAAAATCAATGGTTAGATGCGAGTTAGTGAAGTGTTCGTGGTTATAAAAGTTAAAAGTATAAGGAAAAAGAGCAAACATTTATTCCAGTCTTTGGGCATCTCCGAAGAAGCTGATGCTCAGGCAATCCATCAGCCCTGTCGTTTGTTGCTCTTCAGACGAGTAATTGCTATTCGAACTTCTTCATGGTCGGGCAACGGAACATCTGCTCCATTGACATCGATTGGGGAATCAAGTTCGCCATCTCCTGGTGTTATGCTTTGTTTTTTGCACTATTGAATATAAAAATTAGAAACGAATTGGTGAAGAGTTTGTTGATATAAAAGTTAAAAATATAAGTGTAAAATTCTTTATAAATCGGAGAAACACCGATTTTAAATAGTTAAATCTATCCCTCTCTATCTGTACATATCCGTTTTATTCCCGAAATCGAGATAGTCAGTCTTCTTACTCGATAATGCGTTACGACACTACTCAAAAGGCTCTTTTGCCTTTTCCAAACACCAATGGTTTCTTTTGCAGCTTTACATATGGTGCTTGAAATGCCGTCCCACAATTCTCTTATACCGAGTTGCTGATGAGTGCTCTTGGAGAGCAGGAGTGCAAGTCGAGAGTAAAATCGTTTGGCTCTCTGTAGTGATTTGCATCTTCTCGACGTCGAACTGCGGCGAGTCGATAATTAGAAGTTTTTCGTCTATCACAGCATTATCCATCTAGTCGATGGCTTTTCGATCCGGAGACAGATAGGTAACTTTAGGAATTT